AAGATTGTCGGTAAAAAAAAAAAAAAAAAGTGTAGACATATTATCTGCGGCGTCGAGTACCCGTACAGTTTTATACATTCACATTACTATAGATTTTGTGTAACGTTAGGTTACTATAGTCAATGATTATCATTTCAGTGTAAAATTATTAAGTGTAGTAGGTGGTTATCATCTTTATGCACAGTTATGGTTGTATAAACCAGTGGTTGTCACTTCAGTGTAAATTTATTTAGTGTAATAGATGGTTATCACCTTTATGTACCGTCATGGTTGTATAAACCAATGGTTATCACTTCAGTGTAAATTTATTTAGTGTAGTAGGTGGTTATCACCTTTATGTACCGTCATGGTTGGATAAACCAATGGTTATCACTTCAGTGTAAATTTATTTTGAGTAATAGGTGGTTATCACCGTTGTGTTACACTGGCATTTTTTAGTTTTGTTTATTTGGTGGTTATCGGATTAATGTAACATTACAAATAGACAATTGTTAGCACATTTTGCAGTTTCATTAATTAGCGGAGTTATGAGGGTTTACTGGGTTAATAATTTTTGAAAGGATAAAGACAATCCACAACGTTAGTAAGCTAAGTTTCAGATTGTGTTGGATCTTTTTTTACAGAACACTGTGTTATTAGGGCCAGTTTGGTCAGAGGTTGAGGATATGAAAGGCCATCCTTTGCTTTGTGAAGCAGCATCTAAATTGGAATCTGTGTTAAAGGCCAGCCATGCTTCTTCTACAGACAAGCAATACTGTTCGAATTTCGCTAAATTTAAAGATTGGTGTCGTATTACAGGCCTGGGATATCTGCCCTCTAGAAGTAGTACAGTAGCCGTATATTTGTCTTATTTGGTTCAACAGTCAGTCTCGGTATCTACCCTTAATTCACATTTCTATAGCATAAAGTGGCAACATGATTTCGCAGATTTGCCTAATCCATGTACAGACAAGTTTGTTTTAAAATCTTTAGAAGGAGCTAAACGTATTCTTTCTAAGCCTATTTTTAAAAAATCTCCCATTTCTGTGGAACATATAGAGTCCATTTTTAGAAAGTACGGAAACTCGGAAAAC